AGTATGTGGTATATATATTGAAAAACGTTCTATATACAATTGAGAAAAATGTATATTCTGCTGTTGTTGGGTAAAGTGCTCTATAGATGTCTATTAAATATAGCTGGTTTCTGATGTTCAACTCTGTTATTTCATTAATGATCTTCTTCATTGTGGTTCTATTATTGTTGAATTGTCCATTTCTTCCTTCAATTATGTCCATTTTAGCTTGACATACTTTTAAACTCTGTTCTTAGGGACACACAGACAGGCTTCTTAGGGACACACAGACAGACAGACAGACACACACACACACACACACACACACATACACGTACATATATCTTCCTGATGATCCGACTCTTTTGTCATTATAAATTGCCCATTTAGTAATTTTTTTTGTTTTAAAACATATTTGATATTAGCATAGCTATTCCAGCTTTCTTGTGGTTACTATTTGCATGGTATATATATTCCTCTTTTTTTTTTTTACTTCAACAAACTTGTTTTGTGTCTAAAGTATGATTTCTAAACACAGCATGTAGTTGAACCTTGTTTTATATCCAGTTTTCCAATCTCTATTTGTTTCTATTGTCTAATCTATTCAGATTTAGTGTTATTACTGATATGGCTGAATTTACACTGCTATTTTACTTTTTGTTTTCTATAAGTCTCTCTCAAGTCTTTTTTTTTTTTTTTTGAGACAGAGTTTCACTCTTGTCTCCCAGCAATGGGGTGATCAGCTCACTGCAATCTCCGCCTCCCAGGTTCAAGCAATTCTCCTGCCTCAGCCTCACAAGTAGCTGGGATTACAGGCACCTGCCACCACGTGCCCAGCTAAGTTTTGTATTTTTAGTAGAGACGGGGTTTCGCCATGTTGGCCAGGCTGGTCTCAAACTCCTGACCTCAGGTGATCCACCCTCCTTGGCCCCCCAAAGTGCTGGGATTACAGGTGTGAGCCACCATGCCTGGCCCTCTCTCAAGTCTTTTTATTCTCCTGTTCCTCCTTTACTCCTTTCCTTTATATTAAACAAATACTGTCCTGTGTAACCATTTCAATTATTAGTGACTTTTAAAACACTTTCTTATTTTTATTTTTTGTTCTTCCTCTAGGACTTACATACTTTTTAAGTTTTCAGAATCGACTTCAGATTTATACTGACTTAATTTCAGTGAGATATAGAAATGTTATTTCTATACAGTGCCATTTCCTCTTTCCTGTTTCCTTTTTGTACAACTGTTATACATATTATATTTACATATGTTAGAAACCCAAGAATATATTGTTACATTATTACATTATATAATCTTATGTCTTTTAAAGAAGCTGAGCAAATAAATAAGACTAAGTATATATTCTTTAAGTTTATGATATTAACCTTATTTACCATTTCGTTTGTTCCCACAATTTCAGATTTTACCATATGGTGTCACTTTACACCAATACAACTTTGCTTAGCTGGGTATGGTGGTGCAGCTCTGTAGTCCTAGCTACCAGAGAGGTTGAGGAAGGAGGATCACCCGAGCCCTGGAATTCAAAGTTGTAGTGATCTATAATCGTACTATTACCCTCCAGCCTGAGTGACACAGCAAGGCTCTGCCTCAAAAAAAAATAATAATAAACAAATAATTGAAAGTAACCATTTTGCCCTTTTGTGTACTCATATCCTTTGTGCTATTATTGGCAAATAAATTACATCTTTCTATGCTATAGGTCCAAAAATACAGATCAAGATCGGGGTGTGGGAGAGAGAGAAAGAGAGGAGATACAAGTGCTTTTAAATTATTAAATGAAGAAATGTGAAGTTGAGTATACTCACAGTAATCCAAAGATGACAGTGAGTTTAGCAGGATTCTCTGTCTCACTCCTCCAACTCTCTTTTACTGTAGTTTCCTAAGAGTCTGCCTCTACTGGTATCTCACTCAGCTGTTTGGCTACAGGAATTGACAGTTGATTGCTTTATTGTTCTCAGCAATGCTCTGGGCCATTAATTGCTCCACAGTCTAATCCAATTAAATTTGAACCCTTTGCAAACACAGTCTTTGAGGCCTGTTTCAATCTCAGGAAAGGTTTTTGTTAGCTCTTTCCCTAATTATTTCTGTTCTGTGGTTTAACTTATTGCTATCATGAAGCTACCAGCCTCTTCATAATTGCTTACTACCAAAATCTCCATTGCTTTTGATAACAGCCTTAGACTTCAGCTTTACCACATTTCCTTAGGGAGAGCTCCGGAGCTCTCTATTCTTACAGCCTGCCTTTCCCACCGGGAAAAACCTCTGTCCCACTGCTCTGGAGCTGAGGGAAGGAAGAAGGGCCTGCCTCTGTTGGAGTGACATCTCTGTGTTACGTGTGAGGCATTGGGAGGAGGTGGTATCCCTGATCTTTGTCTTCTCTCCTGGCATAGAAACAGGACTGTAAAAGTGACTTCAGGTCAAAGCCACTGAGCCCAATATTTTTGGCCTGTCTATAATAGAGCTTCTGCAACATGGAGCTGGTGGGTATAGAATAAGAAACTCTAGCAGCTAGCTTCTCCAGGAAGAAACTGTAGCCCTAGACTGGAGCCTGGGGGAGTAGAAGCTCTTTGTTCTCACCCACACCTGCCTAGAGCAGAGCTTCCATTACACTGAAATGGGATTTGTTGTAAGGAGGGGTTAGAATTCTGCTTAAATGTCACAGACTCTTACTATTCTTATAGAGACGTAATAAATCGTGTTTATTTATTTATTTTTTGAGGTGCAGTCTTGCTCTGTCCTCCATGCCGGGGTGCAATGCACTGTCTCAGCTCACTGCAACCTCCACCTTCTGGGTTCAGGCAATTCTCATTCCTCAGCCTTCTGAGTAGCTAGGACTACAGGCCCCCACAACCACACCTGGCTAATTTTTGTATTTTCAGTAGAGGTGGGGTTTTGCCATGTTGGCTAGGCTGGTTTAGAACTCCTGGCCTCAGGTGATCCACCTGTCTCAGCCTCCCAAAGTGACTTAGTACGTTGTCTTAAATAAATGTTTCTTCATCTGCTGTATGCCGTTAGAACAATTTCCAGAAGTCTTAAATGAGTTTTCAAAATGTTTACCAGTTAGAATTGGTTAGCTGAGGCTGGGTGCAGTGACTCATGCCTGTAATCCCAACACTGTGGGATGCCGAGGCAGGCAGATTACCTAAGGTCGGGGGTTTGAGATCAGGCTGACCAACATGGAGAAAGCCCCAACTCTATAAAAATACAAAATTAGCCAGGTGTGGTGGCGCATGCCTGTAATCCCAGCTACTGAGGAAGCTGAGGTAGGAGAATTGCTTGAACCAGGAGGCAGAGGTTGTGGTGAACCAAGATTGTGCCATTGCACTCCAGCTTGGGCAACAAGAGTGAAACGCCATCTCAAAAAAAAAAAAAAAAGAATTGGCTAGCTGAGGAGAGGATCTGTGGAGCTCCTCTTACCACTAATCTAGAAGTATTCCTTCTATATTTTTTTAAAAAATAAAATTTGCCTAAGGCTAGGAGCCAGGAAACCAGAAGACTCAAAGAGGAACCTAAGGTTGGAATCCACCAAGACTGGTCTGCAGGGCGGTGAAGACTGTGCACTCTGCTTGCCAAGTCGTGTGCCCATGTAGCTGTGTTAATCTAGAAGAAATGGCACATTTTTCTAATGTGTGCAGGAAGAGGGGGCCCCGCTTTCTAATTCACACAAAGGCACCAATGTAGTTGCACAGCCCCAGAAGCCATAGAGACTCCAGTTGATGGGTTATGTAGGATGAGTCGACCATCCAGAGCGGTGATTCCCAATTTTGGCTGCTCATTAGGATCACTTGGGGAGCTGTTGAAAAATACCAACGTGAGGGTCCCTCCTAGACCAATTAAATCACACTCTCTTGGGATGGAGCCCAGCCATCAGTATTTTTAATGGCTCCTCAGAGGATGCTAATGTACAGTCAGGATTGAGAACCACTGATCTAGAGCTGGGAGCCAGGGGAATGAGATTCTTTGAACCTAAATACCTCAAGAGGATATAAGCTGACAGTGGAGTTCCCATGCTGGCAGCTGTAAAATGTTGTAAAAGTAGATAGTGACTAAAATTGGCAGAGCAAAGTAAGTCAAATTTACAGTAAGTAGTTTCTTTCCTGAAAGAAATTGCTCAAGTTGTCCCCAAATAATAAGAAAAACAGACAATGACACTGTAAACGTGGTTTCCACACATGCCCACTGCCAGTCCTCATTGATATGGCTCACCCAAGCCTGGTCAATTATGTCTCCTTGTGTGACGATGATGCTATGGGGGCAGGCCCCGCCCACTCATCTGGCCACTCTCTATTCCATGCTATTCTTGGCATAGATAGATAGAGGCTGTCTTTACAGAGGCATTAATTCCCAAAAGCCAGAGAATATAATGCCTTCATCCCAGGGACAGGCCTTTAACAAGGGGACTCTACTTAGTTCCTAGAACGTTCTGCCCAAAAAGTACTCTATTGCATAGAAAGAAATCATTACACAAAAAAAAAAAAAAAATTGGGGATGAGAGAATTTATAAAATGTTATGGAACTTCTCTCCATCACTTGCCGACCCCTTTCTTGTCTTGGATGCTCAGGCTTGTAAGAAGTCCTCTGTGTGCTCCATAAATGCCATTCTGTTCCCTTCTTTCCTTCTTCCAGAAACCCCCTTACTCACTCAAAAGCACCATAGCACAGTAAAATTTAAACGTTTGGTAGAGATCTTCTAAACAAGGGAAGGCATACACATGGCTTATATGACCCACTGCCTCATCCTTTACTGCCTACAAATATCTATAATTGATTCACCGTGCTCTTTCCTGGGAACCCACCTCCAGGCAGCCTTTCTAGAGGTGAAACATGAGTAGAAACTTCTTTCCCACCTCTGAATCAAACCAAAAATAAGTTGGTACAGTGAAATGAGTATGATCAAGAATCAGACTTAGATTGAAAATTTAGCCTAGCTACTTCAAGCTGTTGACTTCAATAAGTTACTCCATCTTTCTGAGTCACATCAGCTCAATGGGAGAACTAATGCTTACTTGTGTTATTGGATTAAATAATCACAGTGGTCCACCTCACAGCGTATCAGCTACTCATACTTCTCTTGCTCCAGTAGGGGAGGAAAACAAAACTCTTCCTCTACACTCCTAGGTTCTCTGACTGGGGACCTGAAAATTAAATGGGCAAAAGACAAACAAGAAGAAAACAAATAGAGTATTAACATGTGCAATGCATATACATGTGGGAAACTCAGAGATGAGTAATTCAAAGGAATGGATAGAACTTGGAGCTTGTATCTTCCCAAAGAACAGTAAACTTGTAGAGAAGTGACACGATGAAGGATAAAGGGTTTAGGCTTTTAGGGGCAGCAAGCTGTGGGAAGGTACATATATGGGGAAAATAAGGGTTATTTCAGTACGTTTCTTTATGCAAATTCTTCTAAGTGCTGTCCCAGGGCTGGTAAGTCTAGAGTTACTTCCAGTGCCTACTAAGAATCTAAGCCTGCAAAATGGGAGTAAGGGAGATGGCTTCATTCATTCAGTCATTCATTCACTTATTTTTGGCATCTGCTGTTTCTCAGTTGTCTTCAGTTCAAAATAATCTTTATGCCAAAGTGGCATATTTTAGGGTAACACTCTGATCCCCTACACTCTCCATCCCAATGCACACACATACACACACACACCCACACACACACACCTTCACAAGAGAGGAAAACAAGACCTCAGTGATAAAATGACTTGCTAGTTAGTGACGCCTTAGTCAGTGGCAAAATTACTAGTACTCAATCAACAGAACTGATTAATAAATAATAACAACCTCAACTCAGGACAAATGGCTTTTAAGGTTACATAGTGTATTAGTCCATTCTCACACTGCTATAAGGACAGACCCGAAACTGGGTCATTTATAAAGGAAAGAGGTTTAATGATTCACAGTTCAACAGGGCTGGGGAGGCCCCCGGAAACTTAAAATCATGGCAGAAGAGGAAGCAAATACATCCTTCTTGATAAGGTGACAGCAAGGAGAAGTGCAGAGTGAAGTGGGAGAAAAGCCCCTTATAAATCAAATCTCCAGATAACTCACTCACTATCACGAGAACAGCATGGAGGTAACCGCCCCCATGATTCAATTACCTCCCACAGGATCCCTCCCACACATGTGGGGATTATGGGAACTACAATTCCAGATGAGATTTGGGTCGGGACACAGCCAAACCATATCACCTAGATTGATCTACTGAAAAATATACTCTACCAAAACGTTCATATCATTTTAAATGTCTTGGTATATCCCATACAACCTCCCATTCAGAGAAACACTAGCAGCTATCACATAGGAAGAGTCTAGACATGCGGACTTCACTTGTGCAATACAAAAAAAAAAAAACAACGCACTGGATTCCTGGGCCTGGTGATGGAGCTTCTTGGCAGGAAGGTGGTGCTCCTTTAAGCAATTTTAAAAAGACATTTCTTTCAGTGGCTTTGGTCAGGGCTTCTCTCTTAGCTCTCAGAATGCCTGGCCCATAAAGAAGGGCCCCAGGAATTCTAAAGTCATTGGGAGACTGTGCAGATCTGAGAACAGCCTTCCCGCCCTCATCCCCTGCCTCACCCTCTGCATTTTTCTATCTCCCAAGCTCTCTTGTTTTCTGCACTTGTAAAAATTTATTTGTATTTATTCTAGCAGTAGCCTGCCATGCAATAAAAGAATGAGGGAATCTCATTAAAATTATATCCGAAAGAAAAAGATGGAGTAGTGCTTGAAATTCCTGCAATCTACACACAATAACCTAATCAACTAGAACACGAAGGTTAAATGGAGTCCACCCTATGGTGAACCTAGAAGACTGAATCACTTCCTGGGGAATTGCTACCTTCAGCATAGCTAGCGGTAGCCATATTAAAATGCAGGCATGGAAAGCCCTTACATTTTACAGCACTTGTAACCTTCCTACTTACTTGCACAATTATTTATTTTACTGAATTCTGTAAAAAGGCCCAGGAAGGAGAGAAAAGCTATTACTATTACCCCATTTTGAGAGTAAAGGCAAAAGAGGCAGTGAGGTTTCTCTAAGGTTACCTCGTTAGTGGTGGGGTAAACCCAAGCCAAGAGTCCACTCTTGTTTCTTCCCACATACCTACATCTTCTCTTACTTAAAATGAACCAGGCCGAAACATAGTCAGATGACTGACCTAACAATTGTATGACATCTTTCTCTCCCTTGGCTTGTAGTTTGAATTTGATTGACGTGAGCCTAAGTAAAGAGGAGAACACAATATTTGCTTAGAACTAAAAGGGATATCCTGTAAATCTGCCCTAGCCTGGAACTGAAAAGGACCCAATAATCCCATAGATAGTTTTTTGGAAAAACATACAAATTGACCCTGCTGGTCTTAAAGCTTGAAACTTACATTTGTTTTGAGTTTCTTCCTTAGGAAAGGACCTTCAAGCCTCTCCCAAAAAAGCATCAAAGACCTGAAACTCACCAGATCACAGCATCTAAACAATGAGATGCTGGACCCCTCCTTCATCATGATTGCTTCCTTGTACCTGGTAGCTCCTGTTTTCTTACACATTGTTTCATTTCTTCCCTCCTCTATAAAACCCTACCTTTAGTTGGTCAAGGAAAGGATTTGAGACTGCTCTCCCATTTCCTCAGCTGCAGCACCCCAATGACAGCCTTCCTCCTTGACAATACTCATCATTTCAGGTACTGATTTACTGGGTGGTGAACAGCAGGACCTAGACTGAAGCCCTGGTGTTTCAGTAACAGAAGCACAGGAGTGACAGGAGGCTCAGAAGTCTGTATGGACAGCAACACTGACCGTCTGGAAGCAGCATAAACAACCTGCTAAACGTGGACCTATTCCATATATACGCATGTCCTCTATGTACAGAACAATATGTCCTGACATAACTATGTTAAGTCATAGTAGTTACAGTCAGGACATATTTTCTCAATCAAAAGATATTAAAATTTGAATATGTTGGGGGCAGAAGGGAGATTGGTGAATTTTTTTAGCATTGAAAAAGGGCCCGCAGAAGGTGAAAATCACTTCAGAGTCTTGGCTGACCTCCACTCAAAATTCACCATTCCTGACTTCCATTTCTTCAGGGGCCTGATCTCTGCTTTAAAATGATGGTAAGCTAATATGATAATATAATATGTATTAATAATTTAATGCTTACCCTTCCTAGGTAATATATGTGCATTTTAAAATAAGCTGTTTTAGACAACATACTTCAATCCAAAGCAAACTTTCTAACCCACGTTTCTCCAGCAATGACCTCTCACCTGAGTGCCAGACCTATATATTCTCAGCTTACTAAATATCTCCATTTGAACCTCCCAGAAGAATTGAAAGGCAATACCTCCAAAATTGATCTCCACTTCTATTCTTCATCTCAGTCAGTGACACCACCTATCATTCACTTATCAAAGCTAGAGACCTGGGAGTCAGCTTAGGCTCTTCACTACCCCACCCCAGCCAAGAGCGGGGCCAGTCTTAACTCAGCATTTCCCAAATGGTGTTTTATGAGCATCGTATCAATAGACAAAATACTTTCCCTGATCAAACAAGTTTGGAAAACACTGGATAGACAAAGTTAAACCTTTTCTATAGGACTTAGAGTTTCTAATATGTTGCCTTGAATTATGAATGTCCAAAAAGGAAAATATATCATCTAATGTTCCAAACTCATTCACCCAGGGAACTCTTATTTTCTTTGCAGAGTATCTTACAGGATCTATGTATTACGGAACATACTTTGAGAAACGCCATGATCAGATATTTTTGAACTGTGTTTTATTATCACGCATCATCTCATGCGATTTCTGTGTTGTAGGTAAGTGGTGGTGGTAACAGTGTAGATATAAGAAGCTGAAAGGCTCAGAAATTACATGACTTGAAAGCCAGAAATGCAAACGAAAATATTTCCTCACAAATATTTATTGAGAAATCCCAGTCAAAATATCACCAGTATTTTGGGGGCACTTTATGAAGTGTGTTTATGCTTAAAAGTAGGAGAAAGTCCAAAAGAATCCTAAACAAATAGCTGGCAGGAGTGATGGCTGGGATGTGCTGTTAAGGGTAGAGTTTTGGGGGCATGGTTCTAGACTTATTCTCCACTGGTTTGTATTGTTTGAATTTGTTATAGCAAGTTTATGTTTAGAATTTGTTTTCTTAAAATGTCAATACAGAAAAAAACAATAAACAAATCAAATGCCTGGCTATACTACTGTTTTAAAAATCCATCTGAAAGAACAAAAATGCAAGAAGAGCCGGACATTCTTGGAGAAGCAGGCAGTGTAAGAACTTGTGCTACCAATCATTACAATGTAATTTTCTTTTTCCAAGATGGATTCTCATTCCATCGCCCAGGCTGGAGTACAATGGCTTAATCTCAGCTCACTGCAAGCTCCGCCTCCCAGGTTCAAGCAATTCTCCTGCCTCAGCCTCCTGAGTAGCTGGGATTACAGGCACCTGCCACCAAGCCCAGCTAATTTTGTATTTTCAGTAAAGACAGGGTTTCACTATGTTGGCCAGGCTGGTCTCGAATTCCTGACCTCAGGTAATCTGCCCACCTCAGCGTCCCAAAGTGCTAGGATTACAGGCATGAGCCACCATGCCCCACCAAGCTGGAGTCATTCTTAAAGTGAGATAATGGCACGGGTATATAGACTGAGGGATGAGTTAATCCAATAGAAATTCCACAAATAGAGGCAAGGAGATATTGGCACCACACTCTAACCAACTGAGCTAACAGGCCATCATGTGAGGCAAGCAGACATAAATATTTAGTAGATGATTAATGTGGCATTTTAAGGTAGTGATGAAAGGTAAACTCAACAAATTTTACTAAAACAATAGGGTAGCTACGTCCCAAATAAACAAGCTTGAATTCCTAACTTATTCGTTATACTAAAATAAATTCCACACAGATCAAAGACTTAAAAATCATTATGAAGCCTTGAAAATAATAAAAGTAAACATAGGTAACTATTTTTATAATCCCAATTTTGAAGGAAGTCTCTTAAAACAGATACAGAAGCCAGAAATGATCAAATCAAAGACTGTACATTGTATAACACAAAAATACTCTAAAACAAAAAAGGTAACTGCAAGGTGATTTACAAACGACATATAGAA